AGTGTCTCTGCTGACTCAGCCGGATCTTCTCTAGAAAATACTACAATGTATGCCACAAATGTGCACCTTCAAACAGATTGCGCACCTGGCCAATTAACGTTGCTCTTGCAGGCTTAAGGAAACCCTGTCAAGCTGAAATTCCAGCTACTTTAAATCCTGTTTACTTGCTTAAACAGACTGCCTGAAGAAATGAGGCCRCTGAGGTGCACGCAGCTATGAATGACTGTCTGTTTTTCCTGATTGAGCATGAGAAAGCAGCTAATTACCTCCTCCTACAGAACGGGAGACTGGCTTGCAATGAAAGCCCCGTACTGCACTGGGGAATATGAGGATTCAGTGCTTTGTGCTCGCTTCCTGTAAGTCTTTTGACAAACCACTTAACTTTTATGCATCTCAGTGTGTTTTGTACATCTCAGAATATTGCCGTCTTCCCCTCCTACCTCRTCTTGACTTTGAAGCTGTACGTGCATTTTGCTCCATTTACCTAGTTGCTGTGCACGAGGCCTTGCGAAACGGGGATTTGCTGTACAAAATGGGGGCATTTCTGTGATACAGTCACCATGCAGCAGTCAGGCACAGGGCAGATAGGGTTGTATCAGTGCTGCTGACGGTCAGTGGGTCTTTGTGAGTGATGCRGGTAGGATAACTGAAGCATAAATGCCTCATCCTGACAGATTTTTTGTGGAGTTTTGTTTATAATGCCCACAGACATTCATACTGTCCCTGATGCCTTGCCCACACATGGATTGCAAAATCAAGGAAATGCAAAATGCTCCATCTTCCACTATTACTTACTAAGTTAGTAATCTTCCACGGTGACTTGCTAAGTTAGTGATCTTCCACCCACACCCTTACTGACAAGGAATAATTGCTGTGGATCAGGTGTGCAACATATATATATGTGTGTATGTGTATGTATTTTTTTCTGAGGGCTGCAAGATCTGGACTTACATAATTACCATTTTTCTAGAAAATTGTTTTGCTGTGCTTTTGCAATAGCTTTTGGGTATACTGATATCACTGAGATAAACAAGTTGCAGCAGTGATTGCCTATTCTCCTGCTGTCCAACTCTGGCTGTTGCTTTGAAACTTGTGTTTTTGGGTGGTTTTTTTTGCCTACCAATTCTTGCCCGYTCTGTTTTATCCAGTGCAGCTGAAYGCTTCRGTGCTCTGATGGTCCTCGTGGCATCCTGCTGTGAGGGGCTGCCTTGTGAAGGCAGTGACAGGCTGACACAGGGAGCAAACCTTCTTCCTACCACTAACCTTTCCCTCTCTGGAGCACCAGGGAATGGAGTATGGATTATGAATACCAGAGCAGATATCCATAGGGAGAGAAACACAGGGAGAAAGAGACGTCCCTTATACTGCTGTGCTGTGGACTCTACTAATGCCAGAAGGTACTTTGTGGGGGGCTATTTTAGGATGTAGATGACAGGCGTTAAATCATATCTTGGGTACCTTCAGGCTGAGAAACAACTTCTAYTGTGTCACTCTTCATAGCAAGGAAGTTGTAGCATCTTGCCTGACAAGAGATGGAGAAAGGAAGTGAGACTTGCTACCTCTGCTTGAAAATTTAGGGAGGGTGATGGTTCCTCTGGTCCTTTTACTCTGAATATGTTCTTAATGAAGTGCCTACATAGGTAAGGATAAAAGAACAAATGCAAAAAAGCAGTTACTCTACTTCTGTCACTCCCCGGTGAAGGCTGTTCCAGACCAGCAATAAACCCAAGCAGAGTGACGATGTATCTCAGGATGTGAGCAGAGAAAACAGAGGGGTCTCTGCAGAGAGAGCATTAGAGAAGTTCGTTCATCCCATAATGAGTAGGCAGAGATTCACCATACAGCTTGTTGGAAGGGTTGACCCAAGTCAGGCAATCAACATTATATCATTTTTGATCCGTGAAGCAAAAATGAATCTTGGGTTATGCCTTTTTTTCTCATCTTTCAAAGAGAAATATATTTTTTTGTCTAGTGCTATGGAAAAACAGGCACCTACTCTGTAATCCCAATATAAGGGGATTGGTATTTCAGGTGACGGTGCCAGCTTTGGTAATAGCCTCACAGTCAGACTTCACTTCAAGGAGTTTGTCGGCTCTTCCTCAGGTGAGAGGAATACAAAGCTTACTGCAAATTATCCATGACACAGCTGTCAACAGTCTCTAGCTAAGGCCTGCAAGACTTCTCATTAAAAGATCCTGTATTTAATTGTGGGGTTTTCCTGACCTTCTGAACCATTCAGACTGAAATTTTGAAGTCTAGATCTTTGCTTCAAGGAGAAAGGTTTTTAATTTGCTCTTCTTTTTCACAATTTCAGTAAATAAATATATTAAAGTCTTGCTCCAATTTTCAAGAACAAGAAGGAGGAAAAATAAGTTGTTTTACTTCCATGCTGAAAAGATTCTGGTAAACTTTCTGAGAACCTGTGCAGTCCCCGTGCTTAGGGGCATGGGCTGCCAGCTTTGCTAGTTTGCTCTAGCGTGTCAAAAATATGTCCAATGTCAGCAACCCCAGTGTGACCAAATTGTGAGCCTTGGGGTGAAAAAATAATATGAGTTTCAATCGATAACTTGTTAGTGTTTGGCAGCCAGAGCATCTCTCTCTGATTGCAAGGGACTGTGTGCTGGCTTTTTCCTCTGGTTCTTGATGCCACGGCTCTTTGTGGCACAAATATTGAGAGCAGGAAAACTATTGATCCTGTGTGCCCTTGCTGCCTTTGCCTATAGCACGTAGTCAGCAAGGAGAAGGGCATGTCCTGAATGGAAAGTAGAGGGGACAAAAGTCTGAGCAAGGCAAGGAGGGACGACGATGTGGAAGGAGGACATTGGGATGAGGATAAAGATGGAGTCTGGATGGGCAAGAAAAATAGCCCAGAGAGCTGAATGAGAAAATGAAGGCCAGTGAGTGGAGACTAGTGAGGGGAAAAAGACTGAGGCAGAGGTCTGCACTGTGGATCTGRAGCCTCCAATCCCACTGATAACAGATTATGTATCAGATTGGCACTTACTAACCAGTTATTTATCCCTGTGTTTGCAAAGTTATGCAAGGACCAAGTCAGGACACCACAGACAAGTTGGGCAGCCCTGGAGTCCTAATGACAGAGCAGATCCTTAGGACTACCTGCACTCCCTGTAGGAGAGTTGGCCATCCCTTCGTTTTGTTTGCTGCTTCATTTGGGCGATTGGGAAGTGGTTACTGCCCCGCCTGCTGCACAGCCTGCCAGGCTCCCGTTGCGGGGATRACTCCCATGCTAGCGGAGCGGCAGGGTGAAACCCGCATGCTCATCACGAGTGCCCGTGCTCTGCTCTTGAGATCCCACTGCCCAACAGCTGGGGCCCTTGCAGGCAGCCAGGAGAACTGCTGCACACACTCAGGAGGGATTCAGTGCGTGAGCTAGGTGACTCATGGTGACATTCCATAACCCTGTTTGCACATTTACAGACGTCACCATCCAAAACTGCCAAGCAAAAGATGACTGTGAAGGGCAACTGTCTGGCACCACGGTTGTGGAGTTGSGAGGGCTGGATCTGACACACGCTGGGCCTCTGGGGTCTAAGATAKCCCTGTGAAGAAAAATCTGCACATGCCACTGTAATCCTCCTCTCCCTCTCCCATGGAAGCTGTGCTTGGGATATGAGGTTTATTTGGGTTGAGGGAAGGGGCTGCTGTAAATGTCACTGTGCTTTGGGGAACCTGCTGTGTCAAAGACAGAAGGCCCTGTAGCAGGAGACAAAGGCTAAGTCGGTGCATGAAGATTAAACTGGTAACTGCGGATTATGGCTTTCTACCTGGACTTACCCTTAATTCTACCYGATTTAAAAGAACATGCAGCTGTAGTGGCAGTGGCAGGTTGGGAGAATCATGGGCACTCTTCTTCTGCAGTTTTGATCAGCTTTTGGCATGGCCTGTGAAGGCAGTAAGCGCAAGAATCAGAAGAACAGCAAAACTGGATCATGCCAGTGAACGGGCAGGGAAGGGAGGACTCAGTGAGCAGAGAGGTGACTAAACATCTTGAGACAGCAAGCAGAAGTGAATGGTCTCAGTTACCCGTTGCGTGGGACAGCAACCGGCCGCAGTGCGAGTGGATGAGAAGAGAGAGGAGAGAATCTATCTGCCCCTTGTGCTTTCAGAATAGATGCACTTTACTCACCTAGATTTCCTGAATGGCTGGAAGAAGTGATAAAATACTGAAAAACGGCCCAGCGTGGCTGGACAGTGGCACTGGGCTGGGAGAGGAGGCCGTGCAGAACTGCCTGTGCTACCATCTGAGGCAGCCCAAAGTGATGGACGCTGTATATCCGCTCTGCCTGGAGCTGCAGGGGTGGTGTTGGGCCTGTGAAATCCATGGGGAAGGCTGCCAGCATATGGATGAGTGGGCAGAGTATGCACGCGGGTTGAAGGATGGATGGTGGTATGTGCTCTGCTGATGCAAAACCAGGGCGGAGAGCAGATGTGTGGAGCGCAGGGAGATGGGGAGAGAGGGAGCCTTGCGGAGCAAGCGGAGTTGTGGATTGTGGGAGGGTGAATAGGGAAAATAGAATAGTAATAGAATAGTAGCCGGATAGATAAAATTAGTGAAAAAAATGCGTGGTAGGAACAGTGTATTCCTAGAAGGAAAAAGAGTGGGTGGAAGAATAAATGCAGACTAAGAGGATTTCTGTTACTTGGAGCCCTGTTCTACAGACACCTCTACTAAAACTGCATCCTAATTTACACTGCGTTGACTCGCTGCGTGTCTGCAGGGAGCCACCCTTACTTCACACTGAGACTGGTTTTGCTTTAGATCAGATGGACAGAAAAAAATCAGTTTACATGTGTCCTATTTTAAGTTAATCCTCAGCAATAAAATAAACCCGTCTCCCCAGTAAATTCCCCGTGGCTGCAGTCCAGCCGCGGCGGTGGGACAGGAGCCGCGCGCAGCAGAGAGGTGCCCGTGAAGGGCAGCTCTGCTCCTGCAGAGTCCAGGCTTGGCCTCACGTGTCTCCCGCCTCCCTCCCCACCAGCTGTTCTCCATCGTGGTGTTCGGCTCCATCGTCAACGAAGGGTACGTGAACCGCCTGGACGAGACACAAGAGCACTGCATTTTCAACCGCAATCGCAACGCTTGCAACTATGGCATTACGGTGGGGGTCCTCGCCTTCCTCAGCTGCCTTCTTTACCTGGCTCTGGATGCCTACTTCCCCCAGATCAGCAGCGTCAAGGACCGCAAGAAGGCGGTTCTCTCGGACATTGGAGTCTCTGGTAAGCTCCTTGGGGCTGGTGCAGCCCTCTCTACCACGGGCTAGGGAGAGGGAAGGGTCTCTTAGCACCTCAGACAGGAGGCTCTCTGCTGGGAGAGAGCTCTTTGGGCTGCTGACACTCGCAGGCCTTCCCTTTCTCCTTTTCCTCAACCAAACTCTTCTTTTGTCCTTTTTCTTTTACAATGTCATTCCTTTTCTCTCCTTCTTCACCACTTCTCTCTTGCACGCTTTCTCTGAATGACCTCCTTCCTGTGGCAGCTCTGCAGGAACCTTCTCTATTGCCCAGTAGCAGGTTAAGGAGAGCAAAGGCAGCTCAGTGTGGTGGCCTCAAGTGTCTACACGCACTGATGTCCCCCTGTTAATGACAGACAACCACACACATGACCTGCAGGAAAAAGAAGCATCTGGCTGATGTCTCTCTGCTGTTCTCTGTAGACACAGCTTAGAGGAAATCCTTTTGGATCAGCATGTTTTTTCTTCCTGCATGCTTGTGCTTGCYGAGGCTGAGTGTAGATGTCTGGAGGTGGCATTTTCCTCTTCTCCAGCTTCAGCACAAGTGCTTGAGCCACATCTATTTCAACATTAAACAAATGATGAGGATTTCATGCAGGCAGACTACATCATTCCTCCTTAGCCACCTGTGCTGGCAGCTGAGTCCTCTTCTGATTTACTGCCAGATCCTCTCCACCCCGACTAGTGTGTAGAAATGGCAGACAGAGCATGTGTGTGTGTGCATGTGTAAGGCAAGGTGACAGCATCATGATCATGCTGCGATCCTGAGTCACTGCCCTTTTGTTTTTTCTTTTTTACATCAATACAGTGAAGCTGCTCAATTAAACACCCCCTCCCTCCCCCCAAATCATCCAAAGAACCACAAATGGAGTGAGAACAGGAGTGGTTCCAGCATCTGAACCTGTTTAGGACTTGTGGCTTGGAAGTTTGTTCATGTTTAGCACATTTGAGCTCTGTCTGGCAGTCCTGTGTGATGGGATACAGAGAGGGGCAGGAATAGGAACATGCTCCAAAGACTCCAGTATTTAGTTTCATTCCACTTAGAGATGTCTGTTTCCCTACCCTCCAGGCATGTGGTTACACATGGGGGAGATAGTGAGTCTCAGTCCTCCCCACCAGATGACAATCTGATTCCAGCCTCCAAATCTACCCATCCTGGCCCYTTGCCCAGGGTGCTGGGATGCGGAGCCTGCAGGGAAACGCTGTGGTGCCCTATGTTGCTTTTCTGTCTGTTTTCCAGTGCTTWCTTTCCTACCTTGTTTTCTATTATAGAGTGTTACCCACCTTTGGGAAAAGGTGCAAAACTGAGATGCTATTAGTAAATGGTGCAGAGTGTTAATGTTCTCTCAACACCTCTCTTTAGTGTATGGGCCTTAACTCTGCTAACCTGAGGAAAAACTGGTCACTGGGCAATTGCAGTCTGGCTGCTTCCCACCCTTCTGTGGTGCCTTTGGAAGAAATTGCTCTCTGCTTGTCCTTGGAGGACAGAGTTGCGAGGCAGTGGCTGTTTGAGAGAGCCCAAATGCTCTCTCCTGTCCTGGAAGCCCTTCAGACTCTCTCCCAATGCCAAATGCAAGTCCTGTGACCAACCCAAAGACAAACAAACGAGAACTCCTGACACTAACACTCCTGATGTCCTTTCTGCAGACACCTGTTGTCACCTTGACAATTTGGACACCACCCGAGTTCAGACAGGCTGCACAGAGTTTGCCCCGGTCTGTAACACAGCAGAGGATCTCACRGGGTTGAAGGCTCAAGAGAAATACAATGCCTATGTGATCTGTTGACACTGACCTTCTTGATCTCTTTCCTCTTTCCGTTTGGCATGATGGTGGTGGTCCACCCCAGCCTTTTGGGCATTCCTGTGGTTTGTTGGCTTCTGCTTTCTGACCAACCAGTGGCAAGTTTCAAAAGAGGAGGACAACCCAATGAATGAGGGAGGCGATGCAGCCCGAGCGGCCATCACRTTCTCGTTCTTCTCCATCTTCACCTGGGTGAGTAAAACAGCAGTGTCACTGGATCAAGTGTCCTCTGCAGCGTATTAGCTTGGGAGGGTAGAAGGTGCCTGCCTGAGACTGATTCCCKTTGAAATCCCAGTTCACATGGCTTCTGAGGCTAAGTTGGGCACAAGATGCTGGAGCATTAAATATGGCAGAAATGAGAGTCCCATAACCCATCCAGGGGTGGCCTTGACATACCTCTAATATAACCTTGGACAAGCCAGCTTCCCCCAGCACATTTCCCCATGCGTCAGAGAAGCACTAGCACCCTCAGACACTGAAGACAGAAGGGCTCTCCAGGCCTGGGGCTGCACTCTGCCTGTTTTGTTCTGTGAAATGTCACCGGTGGCCACAAGAGGCTGCAGAGGGTGTCCCTCAGAGCTCTCACCGTGCAGTCTGCACCTGTGATGGCAGGCAGCTCTGTGTCACTGAATCACTTAGAAAAATGACAGTAGAGCCTCTTCAGACTTCCCTTTCCTCAGCAATTCCTTACCTGGGAAGGCTGTGATGTCCAATATAATTGTTACCCACAATTTCATCCCTGCCTCCAAAGCCCTATTTCGGAGTGATTTTTGTCTGTAGTGATGAGAGCCAAACAGGACAGCATTTTAGGCCAGTCTCCCTGTGGGTGCCTTGGGTGCATCTGTTCAAGGAGATATTTTATCGACCTTCTACATATAGGCTCCTGCCAAAGAGCCTGTATGTGAGAGCTAACGTGTGCTCATCGTGTAATTTCCTATGGCTTTATCTTCTCCCTTCAGGTGTTTTTTGAGATTATTATGCCCAGATAGGAAGGGTGCTCTCACCCAAGGCTCTTAGAGAGGGAGGGGGGCTGCAAGGGCTCCCCCAGAGTCTTTCTAAGAGGAAGATGCTCAACAGATGCCAGCACCTATCATGGTCCTCTCCTGTGCATGGGCTGCAGGTGGCTGCATAGACAGCCTTTCCTCCAGCTCCTTCATCTTTATGTATTTATCTATTTATTTGATTTCAGTTGAGTGCTCTGGTTTGCTCTTACATGCTGATTCTCCTCCCCATGCCCTCTCTGTCTCCCCACAGGGCGCCCTCACGTTTCTGGCGTTCCGGAGGCTCAGAGACATTACTTTTCAGGAGGAATACAACACGCTTTTCCCTAACTCCCCATCCTTGCTGCCTTAATTACCCRCACTCACGAGGGGAGCTTAGGGGAAGGGGTTGCAGATGGAGGAGGCCGCTGAGCACAGACACTTCCAACTCCCTCAGCATGGGTTTCAGTGTGGCATCRTTGCAGCCTGAGATGGCCTTTGAACAGGAATGGGTCCAGCCATCCACTGAATGCCTAGTTTCCCATGGGGAGTTGGAACTGGCAACTTCTGCCCTTCTTCTGCCCCCTTCTCTCCCACCCCTGTGCCCTAACTAATCCTGAGTAACACCGTTGTGCCTTTCTCTCAGTGACTGATCACAGCTAATATTCCAGCCAGGAGAYGCCATCTGCTCCCGCCGACACATCTTTCCCATTTCCGTGCACCCAGGGCGGCCCCTGACCTCGCTTCTGTCAGGGCTGCTCTGTGCCGGGGAGCCGCGCATGCCGGGGTGCGCGCTGCTGCGCCCTGTGCCGAGGCACCCGCAACCCGCCCCAGTGCCCGAGCCTTCTTGCCAGCCACCCCGGCCTGGGGAGCGGCCGCTTTGCCTCCCTACCCTTCCTCTCACGGCCTGTGCACCTACTGGCTGCTTAATGGCAGGGAAAGGGTTATTGGGGCTCACCACTACCTCACTACTATGGGTCAGAGCCTCTTCCTCCGGGCCTCTGGGGGCTCCAGGTGGACCAGCTTGTATTTCCAGCCCAGAAATGAGCTTCCTGAGGTGGAGCTGGGGCAGGTTGCCTCCCCGGGGGAAGGAGACGCTTAATTGGATATCCACGGGCTGTCTGAGCCTCTGCAATCTGTGCCACGTCAGTGAAACCCCGCTGGTGCTCTGGAGATGCCCCGCACACCTTGGAGCCTGCTGTGAGCCCCGGCCGGCTCCCGGGGCCGCTGGGCTCCCAGTTGTCCCGGGTCACTGCCGCCTCCCTCCCAGCGGGCTCGCGCTTTCTCAGGGCAGCCTAAGTCTCCTTGTCCTCGGGGGTGTTTTGCTGCTGATCTTCCCGATGGGCTTYGCGCACTAATCCGTAACCGCTACTAACGCCCCTGTTGTTTGTTTCTCTTTCTCGATGTGTTCTCCCTCTCTTTCTCCCGTCCCCTCTCTGTCTCCCRTCTCTTTCCTGTATCCGCTCCCCCAAAGGTGGGCCAGGCGTTCCTGGCGTATCAGCGTTTCCGCCTGGGTGCCGATTCGGCCCTCTTCTCCCAGGACTACATGGACCCGAGCCAGGACTCCGGCATGCCTTATGCTCCCTACACGAATGAGGAGGATGCCACGGACACGGTGGGGACGTACCAGCAGCCCCCTCCGGCAGACGCTTTTGACACGGAGACACAAGGGTACCAAACGCAGAACTACTGAGCCACCGATGCCCCTGCCCCTGCCCCTTTCCCTTCTGCCCCTGTCCCACTGCCGGCAGAAAGCCAAGGCACAAAACAGACACGTGCGTAGTGGCACAAGAGGTGGCTCTCAGCTATGCTCCAGCCTTCTGAGTCATCTGTTTTTATTTATTGTTTTTAAAAAAGAAAAAAAAAAAACAAAGCGCCCCATTATTTCTTCCTTCTCCTGCCCTCAGAGTTATCCACCAGAACCAAGTTGTTCCAAATGTGTCCCTGTGTTGCAGCAAGAAGGGTCCCCCTTTCCCTTCTCCCCCTCCTCCCCCTCCGCAGGGASGAAGGATGCGGTTCATTCCCTTGGTGGACAGGAGAGATTTGGGGTTTTGGCACCAGCAGAACCGAGGAAAAAGGTGCTAGGGTAGGAAAGGAAGGCGTGAGAGGAAACAGGAACCAAGAGGTTCCTGGGCGAGCTAGTGCTGTTAAAGGCTGGAGCAGATGTGGGAGCATCCAGAGTGGCCCCAAGGGCTGGTTGCCCAGGGATGGGGGAGGACATGAGGTGGCAATAGGGGGGCAGGGGTGACAAGGAGCATGCAGGCATGCACGGGGCGGGTGGGAAAGGGTCCCCACGCGGGCGCGCAGAGACAAAGGTGCTTTTCTCTCCCGCRCTGGTGAGGGAGGGATGCTTTATTTTTAGAGGATATGGGGAGGAATGGTATCAAACAGGGTGGGAGGGAAAGGGGGAGGGAGCACAGAGAGAGAAAGTGGAAGGGGAAGGAGGAGGATTTGCAGGTACAGTCAAAACCAGAGACACATCTGTAGATTTAAACAGAAGAGACTCGGCAGAGTAGAGGCACAGTACCACGAGGGTCACCGTGTCCTCAGCTCCTTTTTGGACTGAGTTTTGGATTGAGCCGGTTGTGTTTTTTTCCCTGTCGTCTGTCTGTCCTAGTTGCAGCTCTTGGCAGCGTAGCAGGGTGAGGCAGGACAGGGAGGCTGCRTCCCTGGCACCACAGGAGGGACGGAGGAGGTGTGTGTGCCTAGGAAGTCCTTGGCCCCAGCTGGGCTGTTTGAGAGAGTCCGCTCAGAGGGAGAGGAGAGTTTTGCCATTTCTTCTTGGTCAGGAGGAGAGGAGGAGGAGAAAAAGCAGCTTTCCCTCATGTCCTGCTGAATCCTCCTCCTTTTCTCGGCTACCAGACTGCAAAGCCTCTCACTGACCCCATCTCTGTAGTGCAGCGTGTAGGAATGCAGCAGGCCTCCCCCAGCAAGAAATACTGCTGCTATGATGGCCAGCCTGTGTCTGGCTGTTACCAAGTAGGAAAAGGTGCCGTGCCTTCCCAGCTGAGCTCTGTGCTTTGCTTCCCACTCAGATGGGGAGTGTACAGCATTCAGTTCAGCAAAGCAGGCTGAAATGGAAGAATTTGCTCTGTCCTTGCAAAACTATTGCAGCCAGGCTTGAAAACTGGCATGRCTATTCCTTAGCCAGCGCTCCTTCYGCAGCATCTGGAATCCTGGCTGTCTTTAAAGCCTCACCTAGGTGGCAGTAGTGACTGCCAGACAGAGCCTGTGTGGCTGCTTTTCCACATACATGGTGATGTTGTTTGGAGGAGAGATGCTGCTTTGCAACCACACTATTCCAGATTAGAAGGAACGTTTATTCCAGAAAAGTGTCCCTAAAAGGAAGTAATTCAGMAATAGCCGCCTGGACAGTTTTCCCCAGCACAGACACCTCTCAGAGCACAAGCGTCTGAAACACAAGGTCTTGGAGCAGTGAGGAGCTCCTTTCCCTGGGCTGCYGGCCTGGTCCACGTGACACTGGCCTGAGTGGCAGAGATCAGGAGCAGACCCCGAGCCCATAGGTGCTTCCCTTGTGTGTTCAACCCATTCCCTGTAGCACTTCCAGGAGTCAGGAGGAGAGGACACAGCTCTAGCTTGAGGTTGYGTGAACATCTTGTCTGGAGGACACCGAATCCTGATTCATTAGGATTGTCATTAGGACAGCATAAACCATYTAGGTTACCAGTCCTCCCCCTTCTTCTAGTGTTAGTTCTCTCCAGCTTTCCCATTGGGACAGGGAAGGGATAGAAAGCCTAGATTTGCAGACCATATTTCCACATTTCTCCACCATACTTGGACACAATTTCTACTTGTCTCAAGCTTTCAAGGGCTGCTCAACCTGCCTGTAGGGCAGAGAAAGAGACATGGCAAAGGCCGGGACATTTCCTGCAGGCTTGTGTTGTGGATAGCCCTCCCTATGGTTTGCTATCCCATGCTGTGGTTAACCGCTAGTGAAGGAGGAGAGCGGGACCAGCAGACCTGGTTGAAACAGRAGGAGGAAGTTGGCACATCCCTTGCTGTGTGACTCTGAAAACAGTACTGTAAATAGGAAGGGTATTTTACAGAAGGARGCCCCTCAGGCTTCTTTTTGTGTGGGACCGACCTAATATTTAGGTTTGGGAGGGGGTTACTTTATTGAGAGAGGTTTGTTATGACTGTGGCTGTGGGGGGAGCTCCCTCCAGTCTATCTCTTCTTGCCCAGGGGAGGGCAAAGAAAGGAGGACAAGGTGGAGGAGRAGAAAAACCAGTATACTCAGACTCATCTGTATCATCCTTCATGCCTTCATTTTGGGTGAGCTGGGAAGGGAGGAACCAAGAAGAGGGGGAAGCTACAAATAAGCAGCCCTCAGCACAAAAATGCAGCATGCTTTCCAGGAGGAACTGCCCATCATTTGTTCCTGCTCATGAGGAGAGTGAAGGCCTGGGCCTAGGAGAAGGAGGTGTGGGCTGCCAGACTGGCAGGGGTGTCATCTAAGGGTCTGCTTTGGCATACACCTTGGGACCTGTCCCTTCTCCCATGGAAGCAACACGGGTGCTGCTTTGCCCCTTTCCTCCTTGTCACAAGTTGCAAGACGGGGACTGCCGTGGCAGGGGGTGCTTCATGAAGTACAAACCTGAGCAGCTTTTCACTTTTGCTCACAGGAGAAGCTTTACTCTCCTGGGGTTAACTTCCTTTCAGCCCTTGCCCTACAGGCCTGGTSACAACAGGGGTAGGATTCATCTTCTTTGCAGGTAGCTCCTTACAATGAAGTTTCCCACAACATGGGCCACCTCTGCAGCCAAGGGCTGCCTGAGGCTCYTCTGTTGGGGGGCTGCCTATTTCTGATGGCCACAGGCACAGCCTGGGCAGCTGCCTAGGACACGGCCCTTTTAGACCCTAGACATGGGTGAGATCAGTCCCACTGTAGGCATTAGGAAACAAGAGGGAAGGCCATATAAACCAACTGATACAGAGGCTTTCTGCCCGTTCTGCCATTTGTCTGGATTACAGAGGATGTTGTTGCTGAGTCAAACGTGAGCACAGGTCCTCCTGTCTTGTAAAACCCCCAAGTAAAGGACTGTTAGAGAAGCAGGGGCTGTGAAGGGCAAAGAGGTGATGAAACTTTGCCCCCCTTCTGTGTAGCTTCTGTGTAACACTCCAGCCTCTTGGTGGGTATTGAGGAGCAAGGTTCCCCCATCCCCAGCTCACACACGTCCCCACCATGCTGTCACCTCATCGAACACCCTTCCCCTCTGCATTATTCCCGCCAGTTCCCTCAGGGGAGGAGTGCATCTTTAGCCCCACATCTTCCACCAATATAAGCGCTTGTGAGGACCTGGGAAAGCAGTGATGGTTCCCACAGGAGGCTCCGATCTGGTCTCAAGAGCTTGCACGCAGGCGAGGAGCCCGGAGAGCACCTCACGCAGCAAGTCCAGAGCACCCATCCAGACATCTCAGCTGCTTTGGTGGCATCTCTAACACCATCCGGGCTGCCCTGCCCCTCCCCCTGCCTGTGTATAGTATATATATTATATATATATATTTAAAAAAGATGTATAATATAGAGCTATACATATATACGTATATATGATGACTCACAGATGGCCTGCTGCATACAGGACCCCCAGAGTGGACTTGTCTCGGCCCGAGTGTCCCCTTCACCCTCCAACCCTGGCCCTGTCCATTCCCAACCCCAGCTGCAGCGAACCCCACCACCGCGGCACCTGTGTTTACAATGTCCTATATATTTGTGGTTAACAAAGTGAAGGTGGTAACTACTGGTGTCTCAATAAAGTTATGACATTCAAAATAACCAAACTGTATCCAAAAAAAAAAAACCCAAAAAAGGCTGATTTTCTTCTGTGTGAAAGGGTGGCTTTTCCAGGCCGCTTGGCCTGTCCAGGCTCCTGGGTTCGAACCTGGCTGGCCTGCTGGTTTCTCTGTGACTGAATGGAGGGGAGAGACCTAAATAGGGGCCATTAGTGAGAGGGACGTTTCAAATGGAGCTAACAGTWCCTCGTTTGTCTCCTCTTGTCTTTCAAACCTCCACGCTGTTGAGCATCTCTGTGTAACCAGCAGGAGACCATGGGAAGGAGCTGGAAGTACCACATGGGAAGTGAGGGGCTGGGGAGGGAAGCAGGTTGTCAAAGGGAGGTAGGAGATATGGATGGGGAATATACAGGAATATAAGATACAGACCAATATGAATGTAAACATCAGTGGCTTCACATCTAGGGAAAGAAGATGAGTTTATTACTTCGATGCATCTGCCTGTATTCACCTATGTGTGACTTTTGCTGTCATGTCTAGCAGAGTATACATTTTCAAAACATAACAAAATACCGAGAAATCAGAGCTCTCAAGACACTACAGAGAGTGACAGATACCACTACAGAGAGTGACATTAAAATGGAAATGTCACTTAAACGTGCAATAAAATTCAAAATGCCATCCCTTCCCGTACTCGGGTAAAGCTTTCCTCTCATCCCCTTCTAATACACCCATYGCCCAAGTACCTGAGCATCGTGTGTGCCCACCCTTGTGCAGCCTGGGGACAATAAGCACGGGTACATGATGGTGAGATGGTGAACAGTTGGTCCCTGGTGCCCCAGACTGCCTCCCTCCATGTGCACACACACACACACACACACACACACACACACACTCTGCTTTCCTCCGAGTTGCCTGGCTTCTTTTCACGTAAATGAAATGTTCACCCACACATGTGGTGTAAGCTGATAAATACTTAACTTGTCCCTTGATCAGTCTTTGCTTGGGGAAAGCAAAGATTTGCTTGTGCTTGTGTGTTCTGAGCACATGAATCCATGGAATCCATAGAATCCATGGCAGCGTGGAGGAAATATCCTACCCACCAAAAGAAAACTGTGTTGACAAATGTAAGCATTAAAACTCATGAGGCAAAATGTTACCCAAAAAACAAGCATTTAAGATGAATAGGGCTCCAAAATGATGAGTTTGTCTMTTCTAATTATTGGAAATCCCTTTATTTGCTTTCTTGTATTTCAAGCTCTTACGAGTCGTACTTTGAAGCCCTTCCCTGCAGCCATGAAATCTAGACACATAATTCTGCTATAAAGTTAAAAAAGAAGAAATCTGTACGTAGTCCCAGGGCTCTAGGAGCTGGGGCTTTCTTTAGTCCACTGTGGACCTCAATGAATTCCTATGTTTCAGTACAGCTCCTCTTCCTTCCTTTGCAAAATGGAGCCGGCTCACAGCGCTTTACTAAATCAGTTCTGTGAATCTTGGTTTGCTCTCTCATCCTTGGGCATGAGCCCTCCCTCACCATTCCCCTTCTCCTTGCTGTAGCTGTCCCACTTTGGCCCTCTGTCTGCCTGGAAGGTGCTGGAGGAAGGACGCTGCAGTCTCCTCCACCTCCTCTGTTCAGGGYCTACCTGAGTAGCCCTTTTCCTCATCAAGCCTCATCAAAAACCATGACCTTCCCCACAGCCCCAGCCTCCATCATCACCAAAAYTGGCCAGAAAAAGAATTCCCTAAACCAATCCCACTTGTGACCAGTAGAGAGAAACAGAATGATGTGATGGCTTTTGCTGGAGAGCCTGTAATTGCTTCTCCTGGGTAAAGTTTGTGAGCGCCTACAGCAGCACCTTGCAGAGCCTGTCCTACCGACACGGTGCTGCCCCAGGGCACGGGGTTTAACAGGCAACATCTTTCATCCATCGGCCCAGCAGAACGATCATGTTTCCGTTTTCCACAGAGAAATCGTTTGTAAAAACAGCAAGATAGTTGTACAGCTTGGCACCAGAAATGCTGTGTATATAATACCTAGCACTGGGAATAGAGAGGCAATGAGAAACAATAAATACAAAAGGAGAGAGAGAGGCGGGGGGAAGAGAGAGGAATGAGAAAAATGGGAATTTTAAACTGACACGAGAGAGGGAGCTGCATTTTAAGATGAATTTATTTGTGTATGGATGAGGTTCAATGGCCAATATCCTGTATTCTTGGGGAGATTTTGGCTGTCTCGTACAGCATGGTAATTTTTTGGAGAAGATTTCCTAAATGCAAGAAGCATAGATAAAACAAAGGGAAAAGTGAGCTGGATCAGTACAACCAGCAAAAACCCTGTTGGTGCTGTATTTCATTTTGCAAGTGCTGCATAAAGGTCTCTGTGAAGAGTTATTCACGAGGCAGCACACAGGCAGCCGCAGCAGCAGCGCTCTCCTTTGGAAGGCTGCAAAATGCCGGGCAAGGATCCATTTAGCACTGCAGGCAGCCCTGCTTGGTAAGTCTTACCATGCCCTGTTTGCAGAGCAAGTAAAGTGCCTTGCTGAAGGTTAAACTGGAGGCTGGGTGGCAGAGCTACAGGAATAKCCAGGTAGAATCCGGCACGAGTATTTTCACCATGTGAAAATGTTTTATGCTAGAAAGGCTGCAGTCCAGCCCAAAGGGGAAGGAAAAGGGTAACACAGAATGGCAATAATCCATAAGAACTGAAGCTGGACACATTCGAATTAGGAACAGGGAACACTTTCAAATGCATGAGATGACTAATCATTATACAAACAAGAAAAAATGGCAGCTTCTCTATCTTCAAAAAAAAAAAAAAAAGTTGTTTTCCTCACTCTGGGACTATGAGATCAAATTCTGCACCCACACACACCCCTACAGACCCTACTCTTTTTAGGCTCATGGGGAGTCATATACAGATATAAGAAGTCAGAAATGTCTCTTAAATTCCCAGTCCTGCGGTGCAACACACTGCGAGCCCATGCAAAGCCTTCTGTGCAAGGACAGGCTCTGCCCGTGCCTACCAAGGTGCACGACTGCAGCTCTGAATGTCATTAAATAAGCGCAAACCTTTGCTGCAGTGCTGGAAAAGGTGACATTGTGTTTTAAAGCAATAGCTCGTCTGATGCTTTTTTAATTACAAGGACAGTGCTGTTCTGCACGGGTTTCTGCAGCACCACGAATTTTTAATTCGGGTAAGAAAACAAATCCTTATTAGTCCTAAATCTGTTATTCCTGATTTTAATTTTAAAGCAGACTGAAGCCCCATTCCTATAATTACTTGTACCCGCTCACAGCTTCACAACCAAGAATAGTCCAAATGACATCAGTACCACCAAACAGATACATAAAGCTAAACATGTGGAAACTTGTTTGTAGACTGAGGTTTTAGATTTAGCATTTCCTTCCATCTTTGGACCATATATAATCTTTAAAAATGTATTCCTGCCTGCATCTCCAAGTCAGCTTGAATGGCTGATAATTTAGGAGTCTTGCACAATGGGAAATGATATGAACTCCTTGTATATTTGGAAGAAAAGAGATACAATTAAACAGACAAAGGATTTACAGGAAGAGAGCTGGAATCCTCTGGCAGGGGTCCCCAAAGCGAAAGCCATCGTTCTATAGCATGAGGCTAATTAACTGGCAATTATTTCTGAAGCGCATCTGAATCTATTTGCCACAAAGATGCCATAAAAGGAGTATCAGGTGGCTGCTGGAAGCCAGGACTGCTCAGCACTCTCACCCTCAGCACAACTGCACTGCTGCACAGGGCTAAAACTGCACAACAGGGCATGTTGAAGACCCTCCAGCTCTGATTCCCATGGAAAAAATGTGCTTTTCCTGGACCCCCCTGGCGCTGTGACCAGTCTTCCTGCCTTCGACACCAGTTATGCACCTGGAGGGCTCTCCAGCTGGAGGTGGAGGGAGGTGGTGGGAATGATGCCTGCATCTTCCCTCTTGCATTAGCTGGGCTGACTAAGTAGAAACTCTTTTCTGGAACTGTCTACCTCAGCCTAGAAAGGCAAAGGCTGGTTCTTAAAAGAAGAGCACAACCAGCTCTGTTTATCTGTTGCTCAGGTAGAAACTGCAAGTGGATGTGTTGGCCTAAATTCACCTAGGGGAATCTACTGGCAGGAGGTGGAGCTGATTGTAGTCTAGCTGAGGAGCTCAATAACTGTYAGTGAGCAATTTTACATATACAGATGCCAAGTATTGGCACCCAAGATCCTCTACATCCCAAGTGAGGGGCAGAGAGGTGTAACAGGTGGATTTATGGCACCCATGAAGATACGCTCCAGCCTGAACTAGTTCAGCAGGCAGCTCATCTCAGTGCTGGTTCTACTTTGCACTTGCACTGCGTTTTGCAGGGAGGTTTCAGTCAGGACAGTGGAGAATCAATCAAGGTGACGCCTGTGAGCTGCTGAGGACACGGTCCCACCAAGTCCTTGTTGTGGCTCCATGGGAGGGAGGGAAAGGGCCTCAACCACCCTGGCAGCGCAGGCAGCCCAAGCAAGGGCAGTGGAGGCCTCCCGAGGGTACCTATAGGGCAAGGGCACTGCCACCGGCTGGCATCTTGGTTTAACCATGCTCAGCCTCTTCCTTGAGAAGCACACAGAGAACCAWGGTGGCAACAGGCTGCCAGGCCTGCTTGGAGCTCCTGGGCACCCAAGAGAACCCCACAGGACCATAGGGTTCCCAAAGGGGCCACCTCTCCTCCCACCTCTGCACATGGCAGCAGGGACGGGACAAAGGCGCTTCCTTCTTTCTGCGCTGGTGGCCTCCAGGTGAGGCTCAAGAGATGTCTCAGTTTGATTGGGAAAAAAGAAAAGGCAATCACAGGAAATATATATTAATTTATGATGTGCATTATTAATTTACAATGTGCACTATGAATTCATAATGCGTATTATTAATTTACACCACAGCGATAACTACGTATTCTATCGCTATATATCGAACGCAAAGCCCCCCTCACGGCCCCAACGGCCGCCGCAGGGGGCTGGCGTAACGCGCATGCGCGGAGCCGCCGCG